CGACGTTGACAGTTTGCTTTTGGCGACCTGTTGCTCGTAAATGCTTGCCACTAACTAATTATTCTTAACTCACTTTGATCAGTGGTCACTCTGAATTAACCCCTTTACTTACCTCAAGCTCAGAAATGTTTTCATCCTGTTGCTGTAGAACCGTATTCGATCGTATTATATATTAAAAACAAATTGATTAAGTTAAATCTTTGAGAAGTAGCGCAAATTCGCCTCCTGAAAAGTTTGGAAATCTTGAGCGGATGTAGTTCTTCTGTGAATCTCTGTTTATTAATCATTTTGGCTAGTCAAAAGACTCATAGGCTTCCGTCTCAATCGTATGTATGACAAAAATGGCTAGTGAGTGTATGTTTATTCATATGTCGCACTTTCGGGAAGGATAGTATTTGTGTGACCGCATTTATCGATTTTATATTGCATTGTTGATCTTCGTTTTCATCCATCATTTACTAATGCCTCATTTATGAAGTGTCAATAGTTATATAGCAGAAGAGGTGTAATTTCTTTCTTTACTTACCTGAAGCAGTACTTTCTTTACATTGAAAAGTGAGTGATGCGATGTAGATTGACCCCATCTCTCGACTCCAAGTCTGTCGTCTCACTCACAGAGCTGCCCTGGTCAGTTGTGAAAATAGCCTGGAAACAAGTACGAAGCATAGGAACGACAGCATTTGCACTTACGTCTTCTCCAAAACTCTAACACCATTTGGCCTTTTTCAAATTCAAGCCTTGATTCCTTTGGCATTAATGCTTCTCATCCAAATGGAACGGGGCAACCGCAACAAATTCGACTCACTCACAGCGCATCTGTCAATTTGAGATGCAAGATTGTTGTGGGTCTTACATCAGATTAAAAAATAAGACTGGTTTTGCACTAGCTGACGGCACTAAACGACATGGACCATAAATTACTCTTTTAAAATAATTGAAATATATGCACTTGAATTAAAATCAATTCTCATATCCCAGAGAGATTGTCATGTTCTAAGTCTAACGAAGGTTTCATCTTGAAGATAACCTCTATTTCTTTTAGCATTTCCACTGGTACTTATTTAAAAATGAATCAATCACATGACAGCAAACACCTGTGACGTTTGACGACTTTTGTTTCTGATCTATGACGGCCCAGTCGTTCTCACGGACACGTAGCCAAGTGCACTGGGCTGTTACATAATTGATACCACGAACCAACGGTGCGTTTTCTTAGCTATTACTCCTTAAACAACTTTGTCGCGAAGTTATTGCACTGCCACCTTTAATTCTCAGTCAGAAAATGACAACTTCGTTGAAGCTTACAAAGTCTTCAGAGAAATCGCAATTTCTGCAGCGAAAAACTTAATTTTGGTCAGCAGTAGGTAGCCAAGATGCCCTGGGCCATGCAGAAGACCCTTGCCCATAGAGTTTCAAGGAACCAGGCAAAGAAAGAGAATTTTCAAGGCCATACTGCATTGTCAAGAACCTGGAATCACATCAGTGCAGTGAGATAAACTTACAGCACTGACATAGAGCTCACGTTTTGTGAAAAATCGCGTAAATCGGCAATGCATTCAGAGGGAACATTTAAAAACTGTGTTTCAATGAGTGTGATAGTTGTGCGATAAGCACAAAATGCAGTTCACACTTATCTGATACGCAAAAGATGTCCACTTAAGGGACAAAATAGAATGCCTCAAAATATGAACTAATCTCTTCGTCTCTCAGGTCAACAAATCTCCTTTGGATTTCCGATTCTGAGAGTTAATTTCCTACGAACAGGAGGTTAATGTACAAGTACATATATTAGGCCTTCTGACTTAGAGATTATCGACAACTGCTGATGACCAACCACCTTCACAAATCTTCGCCACAAACCTATGATGAAGAAGACACGGGCCAAAATGTCGGTAATGGTCAGTCAGTGGACTGAGCACAGTGCCTTTGCCTTATGTATAAGTAAACCGTGATTTACGATTTTTTTGTATGATCACCAATGCACCAAGGAATTGCTCGAACTACTTATAATTTTATAAGTCTCAATTCACTACTGCATATTTAGCTGAAGAACTCATATTTTGTGGATCACATCCATTTGGAGTTTTCAATTACGG